CCGACCTCTCCTGTCTTGCTCACTGCTCCCCTCAGGAGTGTATCCCCACTCTGTCGCTGGTGAATCCTCTCACACACACACACCCCTGCACATCTGGCACACCCCGGTTTTTGTATGTATAAATAAATAAAAATAGATCTTAAAAAAAAAAAAATCCCCATAGCCCCTAAGTCTTAGTTTGACATTCAATTGAAACAATTAGTTTGAATGAGGTACCATGTTGAACCCAAAATACAATTCTTCAAACTGAGAACCTGGGGCCTCTCTGGTGGCCTAGGGCTTAAGTCTCAACACTATCAGTGCTACAGCCTGATTTTATTTCAATAAATCTGCCTGTTCTGCTTCCTACTCTGTCTCTGGTGAATCCTCTCACCCCCTGCACCTCTGACCTACACCCCAGTTCTTCTGCATGGAAAAAAAAAAAACCAAAAAACTGAGAACCTGGTCTGCATGGTGAGACTCTCTTTCCATGAGAGACCACCAGGAAGGAAGTTCCCAGCAGGGAAGAGCAGATACCCACCTCCTCACATGATTGCTCCCTCCAGGGCATCTGCAAACTCTGGAATGGTGAATGGAGTTACCCACACTTTGCCTTCTTTCTGTGCCTCCTGTCTTCTCTCAAGATTGTGTCATTCAGCACATGTAATTTTACTGTCTGTGTGATGTGAAACTCATAAAGATAAAAAAATACTTAAGCCAAGAAGAAATATTGGAAGCACCACCAAAATCTTAGCAGTGGCAATCCTTAGGTACTCTGCTATTCAGACTTTCTACTAATGTAGAAATAAATGACATAATAATAAATAGATATTTATATAAGCAGAGAGAGACAATGTTTGTAATGATAAGAACCTCACTGGGTGATTGTAGAGATTAGTGTTTTAGTGCTTAAAACTGGACATACATTGTAGGCCTTTATATATATATATATACATATATATATACATATACACACACACACACACACACACACACACACACATATACATATTATATATTCATTATAAACATCAGGAAAAAATATAAAACAGACCTCACTGCAGTGAGACAGTGAAGAGGGGGCAGAGGAGATGGCCTACCCATGGGGAGTCCTCCACCCTACCCTGAAACCTGTAGGAAGTTGTGTGGTTTTCATCACCACTGGATGACTTGGGTGTTTTTGCTGAAGGAAGGTCACAGAGGGTTATACTAGCCAGGAGTAAACCCCAAGAAGGATCTAGAAATCAGGTAGGAAAAAATGGGAAGGTGGGAGGGAAGGCTGAAAGGTTTCAGAATTTCCAGAAACAGTTTGTTGATGCTATCATCATGGGCAGGCCTCTCTCTCAGGACAGACAGGCCTGCCTAAGAAGAAGGGAGATTAGGGAGCTCGCGTTCTATACTCCAGTGACTTGAGATGTGAATCTCATTCCTACCATTTGAACAACTTATATAATTTCCTGTGGCCTCAGTTTTCTCATCTAGAAAATAAGGAATGATGACAACATGTCCCACATCAGAATGCTGTTGGGATTCATGCCCAGAGTGTTTTTTTTTTTTTTTTAGTATTTTATTTTATATAATTCTTACACCATTTTTTCATTTTTGCACAATGTATGCATTTTCATTATGGTTATATTCCCCATACAATTGCACACCCCCCTTATTTTGCTCTAGTCCTTCCTCTCCCCGCCCCTCCCTCCCCCCTACATAGTGTGTCTCTGGTTTATAGTTGCTTGTTGATTTTGATTTTTACTTTGTATTGATTAGTCTTTTTCCTGGTCTCTTATTTAAGTTTTCTAAATTCCTGCTATGAGTGAGACCATCCAGAGTATTTTACCACAGTGCCTGGCTTGCACAGGATATCAGTAAATACTAGACACTGCTTTGATTTGCAGCCTGAAACACCTAAATACAACAACTCCCTCCCCTCCTTATCTACAATTTTGTTTCCCTCAGTTTCAGAAACCCAAAGTCAACCACGATCCAGAAATATTATATAGCATAAGATATTTTGAGACAGAGACCGCTTTTTCATAACCTTTATTGGAGTATATTGTTATAACTGTTCTATTTTATTGAACAATTATATTGTTATAATTGTTCTATTTATTGAACAATTATATTGTTATAATTGTTCTATTATATAATTGTTCTATTCTATTACTAATAGTTTATTAGCTACTAATATTAATCTTTTACTGTATCTAATTTATAAATTAATTTTTTTCATCAGTGTGCATAGGAAAAAACATAGAATATATAGAGTATGGTGGTATCTGTGGTTTCAGGCATTCACCGGGGGTCTTGAATGCATCCCCTAAAGAATAAGGGGAGGCAACTGTATTACATGTGATTGTGAATGCTTAAATGATTCTCTGTGTTGTAATTTACATAGAGTACTTTGCTGTTTAAAAGCATATTTTTGCAACATTAATTGAAATGTGCCCCCATTTGTCACCCATTAAATTGTCAAATACAGCCTGGTGTTGAAGAGAGTGTGGGCAAATGGACTCACCTTCCCTGTTGAAAGGGATGTAAGTGCCACAATTTCTTGGCAGATGTATTTGATATTACATATCAGGTCCTTTAAATATGCTATGCTGGGGCCAAGTGGGGCAGGCAAAGAAGTCATGTGGAGGCTGGCAAGGGATGTAACAGAGATGGGTGCAAGATTTCTGGTGGAGGTGAAATACAGAAGCTTGGATAGATCCACGGACTCAATAGATCTTCTGTAAGGAGTCCCAGGAATATTAAGAAGATATAAAATATGTGGTCAAGCAAATCAAGTCTCAAGCAGCTGTTAGCTAGTTGGGTGTTAGAATGCTAACCCTGCAACATTGGGGACCAAAAAAAAAAAAGCCCTACATCTGCCAACTGCACAGGGATCTTCCACTTAGCATACCCATGATGGACTTACTGACTCACTGCACTACCCACACAAAATGGTTCACCTCCCACTGTTCAAGCCTCAACAACCACACCAAGGCACCACAACTTGTCTAGGTGTTCAAGCTCCCATGCATGGAGTCATCTTTGATTTCTGCATTCCTTTCTCTGGTACCACTACCATCATCAACCCAGCCCCCACATCCAGTCACTCAGTCAGTCCTGTTTCTTTCCTACCATAAAATATCCTGAATCCTAAGCATCCCTCTCTGACTCCAGGAATACTGACTGATAAAGACCACCTTCTTTCCCCACCAGAGCTAGCCTTCTTATCTTACTTCTACTTTTAATGTCTCCAAGCCAATCTTCAGGTAACAGTCTACATGCTCCTTTAAAACTATACACCATAGGGGCCTCCCTGGTGGCACAAGGGGATAAGCACTATGCTATGAAGCAATCCACAGCCTCTGCAGCATGAGTTCGATCCCCAGCCGGCCAGGGAGCAACCCACATGGCAAGGCAGACCTCTCCTGTCTCTCCTGCCCACTGCTCTCCTCAGCAGTGTGTTTCAATCAGTCTGCCTGTTCTGCTCCCCACTTTGTCTCTGGTGAATCCTCTCACCCCCTACATCTGTGGCCTGTACCCCAGCTCTTGTATGCATAAATAAATAAATCTTTAAAAAAAAAAAACTATACACCATATTGGGCCACTCAATTGACCAGATTAAAACTCACCAATTTCCTTTTGTTTTTAATGTAGAAAATGCCTGTATTTATTTTCTTTCCTTTTGTTAAACTGAAGAAATTTTGCATTATAACAATATGTAAGTTCCAGTTGTAGATCATTGAGAATCAACATATGTAAATACTACGCTAAATTAACCAAAGTCCAATTCTGTCCTTCACTCTCATCAATTTCTTTATGGTGTCTGCCTCTTTGTCTTTGTCTACTACCCATCTTCTCCTAGCCCACCTGCCAGAGCACCCACTTGCCTTCTCTCTGCTCCTCAACCATGTTGCACAAGGACTTTCCCCTTGATCTTCCTTCAGCTGAGGATACTCCATTGTTGGCTCTTCTCAACCTTGGGGCCTGTTTTCTAAGAGGTCTTTCCTAAGATTTTATTCTCAGGACACTTACCTCCACCTGAAATTATTGGTTTGTTTATTACACATTGATTATGTTCTTGCCTCACACCAACAGAAGGGGAGCTCCCTGCTTGCCTCATTTACTGTGGACTCTCAACACCCATTGTGTGGGAAGTGCCCCATAAGTGAGGATCTAGATCACAAGAGGTTGTGGCACCTCTCTGATACAGCACCCTCAGGTCACTGGTGACTCCACTGTTGGTGGTGAGATACTGGGTCAGGGACTGGCCACTGGTCCTGGCAGAGGGGCAAGACAGCTGCTTCTTGTTTAACCCAGAAGAACACCAAAGGGGACTCAGGACTTGGTCTCAACTTACAGAGCAAGTGAACAGCAAGATGAGAAGTCAGGGCTTCTGAATTTTCAGTACCTGCCTAGGTGATTGCTCCAGCTGTATCTTGTCACTCTCCCTTGCAATGACATTTCACAAAGGTGTACAAATGTTGAGCATTAACTCCATCCCAGATGAACACTTCTTGAGACACCTGGTTGTGTGACATGTAGGAAGTTAGTGAATGAATAAGCATTCAAGTGATGAAATGTTCACACATCACTGAGCTGCCCAGCAAAGTTGAGATTCCTTAGCTTGGTGTTCAAATGCTCCACAATTCAGCCTCTCTCCAGAATTGAGCTACTTCTTGACCTTTATTTCCCCCATCTGTACAATGAGAAGCAAATAATCAGCAAAGTCCATTCCAACAATGATGTTTTGGAATACTTCTCCAGTCCATGAGTTCCGTCCTCTCGCCAAACAGATCTACTGTCTTCTCTGTCCCAAAATGCCAAACATAGGAAGGGTCTCTTCACATTGTTGCTATTCCTTCACCATTATAAACATGTTGGGATAAAAACTTGTGAAACACTCATTTATGTCATCCACTAGAGATGTCTTACAAGTTTTTGCATCCTTAAAACATCTAACACAATGAGGAACTACAAGAACTCCAGAAGGGCTGGGATCATTTATGGAGGTGAAGCTAATAGATACTCACCTGTTAGGATGGCTGAATGGGGTCTTGCCTGTTGGCAGAGTGACAGGTAGGACTTGACCTACACAGGGAAATGGGGCAGAGGGGTTATTAATGACTGCCACTATGGAAACAAAAATACCTACTATCATTTGGTTACTAACAGTATTCAAAGGCATCAGATATTTAAGCCACAAATTAGAGGCTTCCTGTGCCAAAGGCAGTACCAGTTTTACAAATGAATAATGAATGACTTAGCAGTTCTGTTTCTGTTTGCCTTTTACATCTGTTTGTTTGTTTTGCAGGAGGAGAGGTGAGAGGAAATATTAGAAAGTTTGCTCCATTCCTGGCTAGTGATGCCTGTATTATTAGTGTCCCCCTCCATCACAGTCCTCACCCCTGAGTATATCTCTCTGATTTCTTCTGAGAATGAAGTAACTCCTATTGAATAAAATGATGATCACTGGATTTTTTGTCAGTCATTATTGCTCTTTTCGTTTTGCTTTTAAAAGGTAAACTTTCCTTATGAAAAGATAATACATAGAGTTTCTAACTTCTTGGTGAGCATTTGGGAGTGGATTTGGCATTGGGGGATGAAGGGATGAAGGCAGCCCCCAGACTCCCAGTCAGGGTCAGAACATTGGAGACCAACCCAAATCTGTCTCGGACCTGCTGGGCCACCGGGGGCAGCCACTTGCCATTTCTGCACCTTTGTTTTTCTTTCTTGGAACCTGAAAGTCAGCAGCTGGGTATTCTCCAGGGGCTTTTCCAGTTACATGATTCTATAATTCAAGGAAGCACAATTAACAGAAATAGCAAGGTGGTGGCCACATGGATAGGCCTGGAAATCAGAAACCAGTCTAGCTAAGATTAGTTGCATAAAGACTGGTACTGTATGATAGCACTTTACATTTCTAATTTAATTTATGCAGTAGGTGAATTTCATCTAAAAGTCTTCCTCCCTTCTCCCATCCCCCTGCTTTCCTTCCACATACAAAATTGTTATTAGTATATGGACATAAACTTTCAGTTTCTTTACACAGTCATAAACAAAAATGGACACACAAAAGTAGTATATTTTATACATATTCTTCTGCATTTTGCTTTTTTGTCTATTTAATTTGTCTAATACTTAATATGTATCACACAAATTTCAATATTAATATGGTGTCTTCATTCTTTTTTGTAACTACAGAAGATTCCATGGCAAGAATGAATCATAGTTTATTCAATCAGCTCCCTATGGATGATTATGTGGATTGTTTCTGTTTTTTTTATTACAAACAATACATTAGTGAATAACCTTGGACACACATGATTTGGGACAGTACAAATATATTTATCTATAGAGGGCCTCCTGGTGGTGCAGTGGGTTGAGCGCAGTGCAGCGCTGTGAAGCTGTCCGCAGCCTCTGCAGCGTGGGTTTGATTCCTGGCCGGCCAGGAAGATACCCACATGGCGTGGCAGGCCTCTCCTGTTGCGCCCACTGCTCCCTCAGCAGTGCTTTCGGTCTGTCTGCCTGTTCTGCTCCCCGCTCTGTCTCTGGTGAATCTCTCACCCTCCCGCACCTCTGGCCTGTACCCCAGCTATTGTATAAATAAAAAAATAAATCTTATAAAAAAACCAAATATATCTATAGACAAATTTCTAAAAATTGAATTTCTTTTGTAATTTTGTGCTTTTGCACTTTTCTTAGAGATTGTCAAGTTATTCTCTATGGAGATTACACTGATTTACTCATTCAACTTTGAAGTTTGAGTGTCTTCTTTCCCACAACCACTACTACACACTGTGCCACCAAATATTGAGTATTGATCAATTTGACAAATTAACAAATGGTCTTTCTATGTGATTTTAATTTGCACCACTCTTTTGATGAATCAGATAGTGGATCTTTTCTCGTAGTTAACAGGCATTTGTATCTCTCTCTCTGTAAATGAATACTATTAGCCCTTTTCCCACATGTAAATTTTAAAATAAATCATGTTACATATCATTCATGGCCATGGACATTCACAAGGAAGGATGGGCGTAAGGGAAACACTGGCTAACCTCAGTTGAGAGGCTGCCCCTGGAGAGGAAGGCAGGGCAATTGGCAATCCCAGGGGTGGGAGGGCTGGAGTGGGAGTAAAATGAACACAAAGACACTTCCATTGAGAGTGCAACATTTTATTCCTTTGAAATGAAAGACATGAAGCAAACATGGCAGAAAGAAAATAGAAGAGGACAGAGAGATGGTAAGAAGAAATAAAAGGAAAGGAGGGAAGGTGGAGGTGCAGAGGGAGGGAAAGAAAGAGAAGACAGGCTTGAAAAACAATGAACCTGAACTTGAATTCCATCCCTGACCCCTTATGACTCTCCTGCCCTCTCTGATTCCCCATGTCTCTAGGTTCTCAACATCTATAGGACATACATAATGCTCACCTTGCAGAGTTAGCACAATGACGAAAGAAAACCCATGTAAAACTATGATGAATGTATCACTGTGACTCAGTAGGCACAATAATTTGTTATTATTCAATTGTATAAGATGTCTCTAGTCAAAAGAAAGGTCTGGTGGCTTGTCTTGACTCAATTACCTCGATTTCCTGTTGAGTTTCCCAAGCAGGGCCTCTTAATAGCACCACGCCTACGCTTTGAATCTCGCTAACTTCTTTTCCAAAAGTCCTCCCAACTGCCCCATGGCCTAACTGGTGTGAAAGCAGTGAGGGCGTGGTCAGGGCAGAGAGGGGGAGTTTCCTCTGTGTTGTAACCTCTGTTCCTAAGAGCCGAGTCCTCTATGAGCATTGGTTTCCCTTGTGGCAGCATCTACAAGGTCCAAGTCCAACACACCCTTTCTCTCAGCGCAAACTCTGGCCAAGAGTCTCCCTGCCATCCCTCTGTAGGAATGAGGAAATACAGGTTTCCGCCGTTTTCCTAGACCTATAATTTCTGTGGCCTTAGAATCAGTCATGGCCTCCCTCTTTTCTTACTTTCCATTCCATCCGCTGGCCCCAGACTGCTCCCCTCAGACAATACTACTTCTGCCTCTCGTTCCTGCTTCCCCAAGCCAGATTTCTTTGTTATAAATGCCTCTTATCAGAACAAGGAAGATTGGAGCAGTGGACTTTGTATACTCCCTCTACACCTCTGGCTTATTTCCTAGGTTGACATGTTCCTATTCTTTTTCATCATTTTGCTATTGAAACATTAAAAAACTAAAGTGAGAAGAGTAAGGAGGAAGAAGAAAAGCGAGAGGAAGGAGAATGATCATAAGACAGAAATAAAAGGCTTCGGGCCTCCACAGTGGCGCAGCAGGTTGAGCGCAGAGCTGTGAGCTGTCCGCACTTCTGCAGCGTGGGTTTGATTCCTGGCCAGCCAGGGAGATTCCCACATGGTGCAGCAGACCCCTCCTGTCATGCCCGCTGCTCCCCTCAGCAGTGATTTTGGTCTGTCTGCCTGTTCTGTTCCCTGCTCTGTCTCTGGTGAATCCCCTCACCCTCCCATACCTCTAGCCTGTACCCCAGCTATTATATTAATAAAAAATAAATCTTTAAAAAAAAAAGAAAAAGGCTCAAAACAGATGGTATCTTAGCAACAGAAGGAAGCTCCTGAAATGACCTAGAGGTTTGTATTGGACATGACAGTTCCATGATCAGCTACTGAACCTCTGTAGGGGCCAGCAACAGTGTGCACAGTCAATGCCAGGTGCTGGGCAAACCTATAGGAACACCTGCTCTCAAAACATCTGGAAGTCAGAAGGCCACCCAGCCAGTAAAGAAAACATCCTTCAATTATGGGCAGCTATGAATGGACAACAGCCCATACATCAACTAGTGAAAACTATGGGGAAAATATTGCAATTTTTTCACAGTGGATGGAGATCACTTTATTCACAACAGAATGGGTCTGGAAGAAAATTGTAAAACAAAGTCGAACTTTCTTGGCATGTATGAGTATTTCTTCTTTCAGCAAACTGGATTCCATAAATCCAAGGGCTCCCTTCTAGAGCATCTGCTGCAGGTCTGCCAAGATATCACTACCAATGCCTCACCTCTCCTCCTTCATCCCAATTTCCCTTTCATTGGCCTCATTTCCCTGGGAGTCAGAGAAACCAGCTCATTTAAAATGATAATAGACGTTGTGATAGGCACAATAATAACCTTCCAGAGATGTATTGTAGGGCACAACAGAAATCATCCCATATCCCTCTGGGTTTTTATAGGCTGGCAAGCAATCAAACAAGCATCAGATATATTGATAAGAGAAAAAGGAAAAAAAGAAGTTTAATAATAGCATGTCTACATCTTGAATACATGAAAGAGACCTAGCAGAACTGAGTAACTCACCTATGTGGCTTCAGATGCCATCTTAAATACCTTAGCTGAGACAGAAGGACTTTTCTCGGGGAGGTTACCAAGGAAGGCACAGTAGAAAAAGGTATACATACAAAAGTAGAAAAAGATTTAAGTTCTGTCTTCTCCACTAATAAGAGATATGGAGATCAATCTTCCTAGGAGAGGCCCTTATAGAAGTTCACATGTAAATATTGTTCTTTAAATTAACCTCCACCCAGTCTTCGGAGTACCTCCCATGCAATCAACCTTTGGACAAAGAAATATTTTCAGGTGGCAGATTTTTGCTCCTCTTGCCATATTCATGCCTTAATCCCCAGATTTTTTTTTTTTTCATTAAGGTAACCTTAGGTTGTAACACCAGAACCTTTTAACCTTTAAAGGAGACTTGCAAGTGGAATTTCGGTTAAAGACCTTGAGATGGGGAGAGTATTCTGATTGATCCAGGTGAACCAACCTAATTACAGAACCAAGCCTGTAACAGAGGAGAACTTTTACTGTTGAGTCAAAGAGATTTTAGGAGAGAAGAAGCATTTGGGGCATTAAGGGTAAAGGAAGCAGGCAGGTGACAAGAAATGTGGGTGGTCTCTAGAAGTGGACTAGTCCTCGGGGACAGCCAGCAAGGAAACAGAATCTCAGTCCTACATCCACAGGGAACTGAATTTTGCAAACAACCCAAATGTGTAAGGAAATACATCTGTCCCAGAACCTCCAATAATCTAAAAGCCCTACAGATTTTAGCCCCTCA